AACCTTTAACATTATAAATTCTATTCTTGTATATCAAAGTAATACTACTGACGTGCACTTTGTCGTGGTGTGCACTCAAAATAATATTCAATACAACAATTATACGTAGTATAATGAAGTAAGGTTCGTATCCACAGGGAAAGAAATATTTTTCTTTTTAATTAACTAGTAACAAAAGGCGGGGTTTAGGTTTGAGTGATTTAATTAAAATTAAACACGAAGATGAACGAGTTATGTGGTTTACTTTAATAGAGATGGAGGCTTGGTTTTGCTTTTATCCACTTAATGAAATGTTCGTCGATCCCGGTTATGTCTTTAACTATCTTCCTCTCGAATACTCAATCGAGGAGTATATCCAGTTCATCGAGGGTAGTTATTAATAACGAGATGCGTTCATTAATAAAACTTACTATCGAGTCAATATAGAACAAGCGCCGTATATTAACTTGATAGTAGCAATAAACTTAAGATGAAAACGATTGAGATTGATAACCTCAACACAAGCGGTTTATTGGTTTAATCAATATAATTAATTCCCCTTGGCTTATTAACCATGAGAAGCATGCATTAACAACCCAAGTTTACTACCATTGAAAGAACCGAATTAATAAAAAGCGTATTAACCGATTGATTCTAGTAATAATTAATATATGGAACAAAACTAGTTGATCCTTTAAGTAATGTTCAAAATATTAATATGAAATATGAATAGGAATTAATTAATACTCAAGGAAGAATATTAAAGAAGATGAATACTACTATAGTTAATATCAAGATGTTAACTAATTGTCATCTTAGTAACACTCCCCAATATTAACATAGAGTAAGAAATAGCTATTACTATAACTAATGTCAAGATGTTAACTAATTGTCATCTTAGTAACACTCCCCAACATTGATATAGAAATAGTATTTAAAGGAAGAATTAATATTCAAGGAAGAAGATTAAAGAGAATAACTCACAACTTACAAATTCATTAAGCTTCAAAGTAGCAAAACCAAGATGGAAGAGTTTAGCTAGTCATTTGGAGACTAAACATGCTATAAAAATATAAAAGAAATACTATTCTAAACTGAGCTTAAGAGTATGGAAGAAGGGATGCTTTTATTGTGAAGGAAAAGGGGTGTATTTATAGGTGTTTGGAGGTGGCAGGGTTGTGTACCCGATCGGGTATATAGGGTTCCCGATCGGGTATTTTAGGCATTTTTCCGGAAAATCACTTTTCTAGACATACCCGATCGGATATGTAGGCATACCCGGTCGGGTATGAGCCAAAAAGTCAAAATCCTGCACGTTCTTTTGTCTCTCCAGATTCTGATTTTGACACCCGAATCAACTCAATACCCGATCGGGTATTGCCTATACCCGACCGGGTATATGAAATATTTTTTCAATCTTCTTTTTATCTTGTCCCCTTGCACTTTCCTTGATCTTTTGGGGTCCAAACTTGATCCTTTGGATGATCTTGACCTGTTTTAAGCTCAGAATAATCCTAATCTAAACAAATTACATCTATCTAAGAAAATTAACTAATTACACCAAAAGTGTGTAATTTTCCAAACAACAACAAATAAAACTAGTTAAAATAGAAATAATACATAATAAAAATACAACTCTATCAACTCCCCCATGCTTAGTTTCTTTACTCGTCCTCGAGTAAAGTCAATGTTTCATCAACACTTTAAACAATCATGAACAAGCAAAAGACAACCAAGTAATGTTTAAAATGTGTTTTACAAAGTGAAATGATTCCACTTATGCACTACACACTTCATGATATTGGGTTTACTTGTCTTCTATGCTTCCCATGTTCCTCTTCATCATTGTATCACCACATCCCTGTAAAAATAATTTCTCTCATTTCTCTCATTTTGCCTAGGATTTTTTTTTAATTTATCCTAGCCTCTCATTTTTTTTATTTCTCCCCTACTCACTCATTTTTTTCGCTTTTATTGCTTTGATTGCCCATTTGGGTTTTCAACCTAACTAGCTTTTTTATGTTATTTTTTCTTTTTTTTTAAACAAGAATAAAGAGTATGAGAGTGAGTATTCCATGAAACTCTCCCCCAAGCTAATCAAAGCACTGTCCGTAGTGCTCATCTTCAAGACGTCATAGAAAACGAGAATTCGGACTTGGTGTAGGTGGAGTTAGGGAATTCGGATTTTGGATTATTTGGTGGGTTTTGTTGGCATAGAAATGAAAAATGTGGGGAGGATAAGAAGAATATGAGTTTAGTTTGTTGATTTGGTGGATGTATGAAGAAGATATGAAAGTGTGAAATTGTAACTATGGAGGGTTTGGAGTGTTGGGTTCGAATGGGGTGATACGATTTTTTTTTGAAAAGTGCAAAAATAAAATAAAATAAGTAAACATACCTTGCATGGGTTGCCTCCCAAGAAGCGCGTCGTTTAACGTCGCGGCACGACGCCGTCATTGTGTTCAATCGTTCAAACTCGGATCATGATAATTTATCTTCTTCACACTTTCACTCCTAGGACTTCCATAGGAATGCTCAATTTCTGGATTCTTTACTTTGGAAATCTTTCCAGGATCAAATATCCAGATTTTCATAGATTCATGTGGTGGGAGGAAGGGGAAGAAATTAAGATGTTAACTAATTGTCATCTTAGTAACACTCCCCAATATTAACATAGAGGAAGAAATAGCTATTACTATAACTAATGTCAAGATGTTAACTAATTGTCATCTTAGTAACACTCCCCAACATTGATATAGAGATAGTATTTAAAGGAAGAATTAATATTCAAGGAAGAAGATTAAAGAAAATAACTCACAACTTACAAATTCATTAAGCTTCAAATTAGCAGAACCAAGATGGAAGAGTTTAGCTCCTCATTTGGAGACTAAACATGATGGAAAATATAAAGAAAATAATAATCTAAACTGAGCTAAAGAGTATATGTGAATTGGTGTTTTTATGGGAAGGAAAGGGAGTGTATTTATAGGCTTTTGGGAGCTGCAGGGCTGTGTACCCGATCGGGCTTCAAGGCCACTCGATCGGGTACTTAGAGAGCTTCCCGGAAGCCAGAAAATTGGGGCATACCCGATCGGGTATGTCGGTCACCCGATCGGGTATGACACCCGAACGTGGTTAAAAATCTTCCCGCATGATGCCTTGTTCCCGGATTTGATCAGATTTGATTTTTTAGCAAGGTACCCGATCGGGTATAGGTCATACCCGATCGGGTACAACACAAAAAATCAGGATCTTCATTTGTCTTGAGATTTTTGCATCTTCCTTCCACTTTCCTTGATCTTTTAAGGTCCAATCTTGATCCTTTGGATGATCTTTGACCTGTTTAGCTCAGAAAAATCCTAATCTAACCAAATTACAAAAAAAAAATGAAAATAAAGTATTACACCAAAAGTGTGTAATTTCCACAACTAGAACTAATAAAAACTAGTTAAAAATACAAATATACAATCGGAAATTACATGAATATCAACTACATATAAAATCTTTAATTTTTTCAAGCAAAATTCGAAACCTACAAAATTAAAAGACCGACCTTCTTACCACAATGATATTCCATAGATCCTTGTCTGAGTCATTATTTTCACTTTAGAGGAACACACACTCACCTTCCTTCGATATGTGAGAAGCCAGACCAAGAGTTACGAAGCCTCCGTTCTTCTCTTAAGTTTTGTGCTTTTATTGTTCTAATGGGGAGTTTGGGAGAGCAAAATGAAGTGTTTGGGAATAAGTCGTGACGTGGGGCCCACATCCAGGTCAGCTGCAAAATTTAGGAAAAGATTATAATAGCGGGAGAGACAGACATGTAACTTTCCGGCCAAAATTTAACTTTCCGACGCCAATGTCCGGAAATTGAACAAATATATTAGTTGGAGGATGTATTTTGCAAGTACGTAAAGTTATAGGACCAATATCGGCTATAGGCCAAAGTTACGGGACTGATTTAACAAATTTCCATATATGTATCTTATTGAGTTATCATTAACATGAGATTTGCATCGAGATTCGAGACATTTGAAATTATGTACAATAATTTACACTCAAATTATGAGTAGAACTATCATTCTCTTAGTCCAAAAAGTTACTCATCGGCCATCGCAATGTTTTATGATTTATCTCTCATTCTAAAGGTATTTGCCCGATTTCTTTCTTTTTCTTCAACAAATACTTATAAATACTTATGTTAAACATGAATTAATATAGCGACCGTCAAATTCCCCTACAATTGAGCATTGGGTGTCCTCAAGCAATTTCAAACGAGAAATTATTCATTAGCCAACCCATTAAAATTTCTCACATTTATGTTACCCAGAAACTTCAAACACCAAATGTTGACCTACAACTTACGTATTTTAGAAAGAATTACTCCATTTAACATGTTCTGAAAAACCACTTGTCCATCATGACTTGTACCACAAGAGTGATAAAATTACTTGTAACCAATTTATATACTTTAGGTATAACATTGCATGTTAATTTCACGCTACACAAAAAAAAAAAATCACTTTAAATACTATTGACATTTAAAACAAGTCAAACCTCGGAAATTACTCCGTATAAATCAATAGCATAACAATTTCAATAGATAGAGTAAATAGTACTCATCCATCTCATTAAACTTCATGGTATTGACATATTTCAATAAAATAAGTCAAACCTTGGAAATTATAATAAATTTTTTAAAGTTGACATTGCTTAATATTTGTGTAAAACCCTCTAAAATCACATAACTAACTCTACGATTTTCTATAGTTCACACCTAGAAACCATGCAATCTACGTACAAGGCAATAAACCCGCCATACGTTATTTGGAAACAATCTCTCAATGTTTTAGTACATGGATAAGCATCCGATTCCCCTTACCCCACGTCCCCACCTTATATTTATATTGCTCAACATTCTTTTAAATATAAACTCAGATTTGAAGGTGACAATGACAAACATGCAACTTCATATCAACTTGATTCGCGAACAAAGATTGGCCGCCATGACCAGATCAACTTCAGAAGTATAAATAGATAGTATCTAGCTATAGTTTAAAGTTTAAACACAACATTATTTCATCACATAGAACTAAACTTGAACACCAGTTAAGATGACCAAAATGATCATTTCAATAATTGATCTAAGCTCCAGTTCCTCATAAACCGCCAATGAAGTTAGAGCAGATCAAAATCCTTGTGAGTGCTTTGCCAGTTCAGTCTGCACTCTGCAGAAATGTTAAAATACAGGATGATGACAAATTGTATATTTGTATTAACAGAATAAATATAACCTAAACCTTTAATAGAAAAGAACCCCAATCTGCCATTTCCATCAATGCTTAAACATTAATGAGATTGATGTCATTGCCGAGCCTTTCAAGTTCAAACACTTAAATCATACGTAGTATAAAGACTAAAGAAAAAATTTAACTAACTTTTGAATTGAAAATACAATTATTTCATTTTATTTGCATTTTCATTGGTGAAACTGAACATATAGAACAACTTTCCTTATCATTTCGCCCCCTTTCCCTGTCATTTATAGGATCCAAACATAGCCTAAAATAATAGGAATAAGAAATTAAGTCATCCAAATGTCAGAACAGCACATGAGTACATGACATACTACTGAATAGAGCCTATCATAAGATCAACAGTCCACAGAAAAAGAGAGTGTATGTCACAACAGCACAACAAATGAAGCTCATTATGAATACAATCTGGAGAATCAAATTATATACCCAATCCTGGGTTTTAAGTTTAAGCCACACGAAGGTTCGATCTATAGATAGTATTCTTAGGGAAGAGAACTTTATCCCTATGAATTTTCGATGGTCTCAAAAGATTTTCAAGGCCATTCAATGGATAAAGCCTACACGAGGATTTAAACTCAATATCGATGCAGCATTTATACCTGGCAAAGCTTCAGGAGGAGCTATCTTGAGGGATGAGAAGGGAAGAATGGTACAAGCTATTTCCTTCCCCATCGAGGCTTTCTCCAGCCTGGAAGCCGAGTTGTTTGCAGTTTTCAGAGCGACAAAATGGGCGATCCAAGAAGGTTATGAACATTTTCAGGTTGAAAGTGATGCTGAAGAGATTATCGATTACGTTTCAGGTAGAAAAATTGGTGGATGGAAGGATGAAATTGATGATTTCAGGCAGTTATCTTTTAGGAAAGGGATTGGATTCCGACATACTATGCGAGAAGGGAACGGGCCTGCGCATCTGCTTGCTGGTGTATCGCCAACCCAGTTTACTATTTGGTCTGATATGGACTCATTACCTGGCTCAATAAAGACTGCTATTATTTTAGATATTTTCAATTTGCCTTCTTTTAGAAGACTCTTGTAATTCATTTGGAAGAGGTTTTGGTATAGTCCCCCTCTTTATGTAACTTTATTTTTTCTCTTTAATAAAACCCCACTCATCTAAAAAAAAAAATGAAGCTCATTATGAGTCCAACAGTCCACAGCAAAAAGACTGAATGCTAAGACAAAGCCAATGTAATTACATGCATACTATTTGGAACACACCAAATAAATGTAATGCAGAATGACATGCATATGATTTTACCATTATATAGATGTTTCATGTTAGCTGATCCCACACTCTTTTGGGACTAAGCCCAAAGGCTTGGATGTTGTTGTTAGATGTTTTATGTTTTAATCAGAATTTCTTTATAGTTCCAAGTTGATCCAGCGAAAAAAAACAGTGAATGGCAATCTATGGGCGCGAAAAAAACAACTATTATAATACACAATATATGGTCACATTCATGGGCATACAAAACATGTGTATAATTTGGGGAAAACCTTTTTATGTTTACAAATTTCATTTTAAAAATTCTTCCTACCGGCCCAACCCAGTATTATTTTTGGCCATGCCTCTGGTCACATGCATGTCATTGTAAACACTCTAATCAACTGTACCACAACAATATGCACATATCGTGTTTCATTCCAGGCCATAAACAGGCAGGTAATTTTATAAGAGTAACTTTCAATCAGTAACAAATAATTGCATAATAGTGTCAGCAAAAAGTTAGGAAGAAAAACACACTTCAAATTGGTTTTTCAAATGATCCAGCTCCTTGTCAAGATCATTAATAGCCTGATTATAAGCCTGCATTGGTGAAGACTGGCTTGTTGTTTGAATCTGCAAATAGAGCATTTAAAAATTCAGCATTGAAGAGACATGAGTTTTTAAGATACATAACAATACATAGCAAAATTGGAAAACAAAACGTTAAATAACACTTCAAAGAAATATAAAAAATATAACACTTCAAAGAGAATGACTTGCCCTAAGAATGATCTTATACTGAAGAGGGTGGGGTAACTTGTAACCAGAAAAGAGAACATTCACATCCCTGTGCAATTGCCTGCATCCACAACATAATCACCACAAGACCAGAAAAGGAATAAAAAACTAGGCGTTATAGAAGTTACCTAAGGCCCTAAGGGGATGTTTGTATCATGAAAAATGCTACTAGATTAGGGAAACAATGATATGCTAGTGATTTTGTTGTGTTTAATAAGCCTTGGAAAACGACCACTTTTTTTTACGGATTATTATTATTTTTAAATATTATAGATCTCTTAGTCTTGACATGATAGGCATGTGAATACATAAAACAAATATAAAAAAACACCCCCCAACACACACACACACACACATTTCCTTTCCTTCTATCTTTTCTGTGGTTCCCTTCCACAATTTCAAAAACTAGCGCTAAACGCACCCTACAACAAGGTTGAAGCAAATTACATGCGTAAAATATTGCCGATGGTGTGGTCTTCCCTCTCAACAGTTAAAGTGGCAGCATTGATAATCTTTGTGTCCCGCTCATATGCAACCCTAGCGAGAGAAAGCAGAGAATAAACACACAAGAATAACTGAATATATAAATTCATAAGATGAATTGCATGATAAGAAAGAACAAGACAAACAAAGGAAATATACTTCTTAACGCCTTCAGGGACGACAAATCGCTCGTAACGATCAGGAGCATTCATTTTGCTTTTGTTCTTATCCGGCTTCTTCTTCTCCTATGTAATGGCTGTTTAACACAAAAAACAACCCCGAACACAAATGAAACTCTTTAATTAAAGCCCATTTAGTAACACTAAATGGTTGAATCTGCTAAAATTTATGAAACTCAAGCTGAAGTGGCTGAATTGGTCGAATCTGCTTAGTTATGAAAAAATCATATTTAAAATATATTTTATTAATAGAATTTAAAAAATTACATAAAAAGCTAAAATTATCATCTCCGTAAATTCAGCCAAAAAAGTAACTCTCACTATATTTGTTTTATTATTACGTACTCTCTCCGTCCCATTGTACTTTGCCAACTTTCCCTTTTCGGTTGTCCCTAAAAACTTTGCTACTTTACTATTAAAGCAACTAATTTATGGTTCTACTCAATCCTCTCTCCTTTACACAAACCTCAACCACACAGTTTTTACTTTTCTTATTTCCCACCTACTTTGAACTTGGCAAAGTCTACCAGGACAGAGGTAGTAACCGTAGTATTACACAATTCAGAGAGTGAAGTAATAAACTATATGTTTGCTAAAACAATTGACTGATAAGCTGAAAATGAGGGTTATCAAATGCGCTCTTAATCTTGAAGAAAAATGAAACTAACAAAAAGGAGTAAATGAGTAGATAAAGTGTAAACATCTATTAAAATACTCCCTATGCCCCACAAAACATTGTCAGATTTCCTGATTTAGCCGTCTTAAAAACTTTGGCATTACCATAGTGATAAATATGTGATTAAAGTTATTTTCTTCTCCTCTGCACAAATCTCAACCATACAGTTTTTATTCTTCTTCTTCGTGTAAGTCAAACAGTCTTTGCGTAAGTGAAGATGAGGGGAAAAACAAGAGCATCACAATAACTTACCTGATAGAACACTGGAGTTTCTTTCTTGTGTAGAAGAGACACCAAATATGAAATATGGAAGGCTATATGAGGGATGAAACCTAGTAAGTGTGGAGCAGTGCATATAGAAGAAGAGAGAGTCATGAGAAACTCATAAATATTTCAAAATTGAAAAAATATGTAGACAAGATTTTCATATTAACAAATTACTGGATTCAATTAGAAGCAACTAAGCAAGGCATCATTAAAATTTTCATATTCATGAACAAACTACAGCTGTGGTGATGACATTGAATGACCTATGCCATTTTTTATACATCATATCAGAAAGGAGGAAAAAATCAATGTCAGACAAACAAGTAAAATAATTCAACAAAATTGCAATGTATATTAAGCACAATGACACATTAATACTAATAAACTAAAACATAAAAATATAAAATCATGTAAAAAGGGATTTAAACTAGACTTAAAACTGAAAAACTAAAAACAAAAACATAAACACTAGCAATGGGAGATCATTGGTGAAGTTGGATGGGAGGTAGTCAGGTAGCACTGGAATAACTTTATATCTTAACAAACACCAAAGTGGGACTTAAAGTGAAACTGTGAGGGAAAATGATAATGTTCTCATCAAATGGACCTATGGATAGAAGTGTAATTTGCAAAACAAGTCACCTTCTATGAGGAAAATAAACCCAACATCTTCAACTATGCAACATAAGCACAATAGTTATATATGATATTGAAAACAAGTTCTTAAAAAATTGCATATTGGATGAAAATTCTGAATTCCCATAAGTTTGAATGATAAATTCCATTTAGTATGTTTAAGCTAAGGCTTCAAACAAAATGTGCAATTTTTATTAGGTAAGCATATGTTAAATTATTAGCTAAGGCTCCTTATGATCATTGCGTGTATCCTCATACGGAATATTTATGATTAAATTATCTAAAGGTGTTGTCTATTGACTATTGTGAAGCCACACCTCTTCAAACGTTGGCTATCCAGTGTGTTTTAGCAAAAATTTCAGAGATACAATCACAACAATCTAGTGAAAACTAACCAAATGCTCTGCATGACATAAAGTTTTCGATGAAGAAGAGCGAAGTAAACGAAAAAGAATCTGAGGAATTGAACCTGCGAGCAAGTTCGAATGCTGAGAATCGGAATTAGGTTCGTCCCAGGTAGGTTTCTCCGAAGGGTCTTAACAATGCGGCCAAGTGACGCCGGTTTCTTTTTGCTGAGCCTTCGTCCGTGGATGAGCAGCGATGACGGTGTTCTGCGTGCGTGACTCCGGGTTAACTTTCAAATCAACTCCACTAAAATTCTTCATAAAATCTATATATTCAAAAAAACAATGGAAAAGGGGTCAAATAAAACCATGTACTAAAAAAAAGTATCACACGAATACATCTACTATTAAAAAACAATCAACCATGTCCAACCACCGGGAAGCAACCTGCTATAACAGGTTAGAGTAAGTTTTGACCTTCTTTTTTTTTTTCATTTTCCATTTTCTTCTTTTCTTGCTCTGGCCATGATCCGATTGTTCCGATATTCTCGTTGCAACCATTTGTTGGCTTACCTTTTTTCTTCTTAGGGAGAAAGACCAAAAATGACACCAAGGTATTTAACGAAACTCGGATTAGACACTAAGGTTTTAAGTAGACCAAATAAACACAAATTTATAGTTTTTGGTTCCATTTTGACCACCCCTTTAACCCCTCCGTTAAACAATCCCTCTCATCGTTCCAAAAGCCCCTGCAAACCCAACACTTGCCGCAACCCCACCCCAGTCCAACACCCTACCCCTCCCCTGCCCCAGGCCCTGTTCCGCCCTCGCCACTTGCCCTTGACCGTCCCGATTCTTTTACGGAGTAATATGTTAATGGCGATTTCTTGTTCAACAAGAACCCTCTAAAACCTACTAACCTGGTAAAACTTCTCTTACGATTTTTTTTCTTACAGAGGAGAAGGAATACAAAATTGTAAAGACTGGAAATGGCAAATGTTAATGTAGCTGGGCTTATTGCAACCCTGGCAGCTGCAGCTTTAGGAGTACAACTTGCTCATGCAGATGGTCTTTCAGCTTCTCTCCATTTTCACCTACTACGTCATCGACCTAACCCACTCCTCACGTTCCGGATGCTGACTCCAGAAAGCCTCCCTAGCAGCCAACTCCTGTGGAACCTCCAAAACCTCACAATGATCATCCTAGAACAACATCAGCCTGATTCGACCCAGAATCTTTGGAGAGAGGTGTCAAGGCTTTGAGAGAGATTAACAAGTCTACCAGATCAAACTGAGCACGGTCTGATTATATGATGTCCTGATTCTGCGATGCTGAAGCCTGCGATGGGTAATGGGTAGACTTCGAAGCAGCGGTGGTTTCGACGGCAAGGCGGAGCGGCGGCAGCGAGGCAGTCACCGCCGAGGTAATCTTGGAAGCAGGGCAATCCACCTCCATTGATCTACTTTAAACTTTAGTGTCTAATCCGAGTTTCGTTAAAAAACTTGGTGTCATTTTTGGTCTTTCTCCCTTCTTCTTATCTACCCCAGTGTACTCCATAGTCCATATCGTTCCATTGTTTTTTTTGTTGTTAGTTCTTCTTTTTCCCCTTTTTTTCCTTTTATATTTGTTGTCTTTCTCTTTAAAAAAAATTGGCATTTTTCTAATTATGTCAATAAAATATCATCATTGGCTCATAAATAATCCCATTCTTGAAAAGTAAAGATATGATTTAGAGCCCGTTTGGTAACACTGTTTTTGATTTATCAGACTTTTCAGTCAACTTTTTCACCAAACACGTAACTTTTGGAGTTACTGTAGATGACCGTTTTAGCTATTTTTAAAATTTTACATATAATGTTTTCTTTATTTTATTAATAAAATATACTTTAAAAATAATTTTCTTCTTAAATCAGCAGAATCAGCTAATGCAGCCATTTCATCCTGAACTTCATAAATTTCAGCAGAATCAGCTAAATCAGCCGATTTTCTGGTTGCCAAATAGGCTCTTATTATTAAAGTTTTTTTTTGAGAAAAATCAGACTTTAAATCTTTCAGTTACTATCCCATGTTTTTTGGAGGTATTATCCATGCTATTTATATAACATTGACATTTTTAATATTGTAACTTTAGAAATAGTAAAAAAATTATACACTTCCGTACAAATTTTCAAATCTTCCATACCGACATTTTTTGTATCTAAAGTTATACCGTAGATAAAATCTTACTCCGTAATTAAAATCATTCAAACATTAAATGTCTAGCATAACCAAATAAATTTCAAACGGGACAAAAAAATTATACACTTTTGGTGACATCCATTTACTGTTTTTATCATGGATTTTTCAGAGTGAGAGGCCGTCTGGTAACAATATTTTTCGGCTTATGAGGTTTATTAGTCAACTTCTTTACCAAACATGTAACTTTTATTTTCGTGCACGGAATTGTGTAAATGAGAAAAGGTAAAGTCAATGTTACTTTTTTTGCCGTATTGGCTGAAGTTACAATAGATACTGAGGATATATTTTTTTCATAATTTTATTAATAAATTATATTTTAAACGTAACATTTTCTTAAATTAGCAGAATCAGCCAATGCAGTCACTTCAACCATAACATCATAAATTTCAGCAAAATCAGCCGAGTTAGCCGATTTTCGTGTTACCAAACGGCTTTGATTGTTTTTTTCTTGTTCCCTAACTCATCTAACAGACGTTGTCGGCACGTACAAAAGATTCTGAAAATGTGTACAAAAAAATTACATTTTTTACCGACTTAAACATCTAAGTCTGTTCTGGACATTATTGTCTGTAAGCATGAACTCCTTCGATATTTTTTGTCCGTGACATAATTTTACAAAAAAGATTTTCTGTAAAAAGATTTATAAAAACCGGTTCACAATTTTCTGGCCATGTCTAAAACTTTTTTCCCAGTATTAGACATTTGTTGTCTTTAAAATTGGATTTTTCTAATCGACTTTTTCGATTGCCTCACTTTATAGAAAAATTGACAATGAAAAATTTTGAAAATGTGTACAAAAATTATACAATTGGACTTTTGGAGTGACACATGATGCAACAGAAAGAGAAGTAAAGAATGTTTTTGATTGAACTAAAAAATCTTGATGATGTGATTTGGTCTGTGTAAGTCTTGACCAATATGTTAAAGTCGTGTCCGGGTGACCCGTCTGATACAGTAAACATTTGGTGAATGTGTATTTTGTTATTATCTAAATATAACATGATCTTTATAAATCTGATCTAATCTGATATGATATGTTTAAGTTGGGCGTGGACTCATATGAGACTGGAAATTGTAAATTAAAAATAACCTAAGAAGGAAGGAAGAAAAAAAAGTTTCCCCTCCGTCCCCGAAAGAAGTTCGCCATTTGACTTTCACACACTTTTATGCAAGTAAACTTACCAGGGGGTAAATTTTATTGTTTTGACACTGTTTGACACTGTTTCGACACTGTTTGACACTGTTTTGCACTGTTTTTTGCACTATTTTGATGTAGATAACTTTCCATTTAAGGAAATGGGAACTTAAATTAGGGACATCCAAATAAGGAAAGTGAGAACTTCTTTCGGGGATGGAGGTAGTAAAAAGGAAAAAGAAAAAATGCAAAGAAAAAAGAAAAATGAAATGTGGAACGAAGAGAACAATGAAGACAGAAAAATTAGGAGAAAGCAAAGTTGAAATAGAGAATATGACAACGAAAAACAATGAGAAAATGAGCTTGAAGCCTTTGGGGTACATGGGAGTAAAAAACGGCCTGGAAAAGGTTGAAGAAAAAACAAGAAGGAAAAGAAAATGGAAAAGAAAAATGTTGATGACTTGTTATAGCAGGTTGCTATTAGGTCATTTGATCATATTGATGTTTTTTTTTAAAGTAGGTATACTTAAGTGATTCTTTTTTTAGTAAACTGTAAAAGGGCTTAGGTGATGGTTTCGTAATAGTACAGGAGCTTATTTGACCCTTTTTCCAAAAACAATACTCGTAGTAGTAGTTATACAAAACAAAGTAGTTAATGTAATTTAAAAAAGGGGTAATTTCAGTTTGCACCTCATTTATTGTGCAAATTGGACTTTGCACCCCGTTTTTAAAAAACTTTGTTTTTGCATCCCAACCCCATGTGAAAAGAAAAAAATGCCTCTCCATTAACAATTTTGTTGGCTTTCAACATATTCCTGATGGAGGACCTTTTGTCTTTTCATATGGGGTTAGGGTGCAAAAACAAAGATTTTTAAAAACGGGGTTGTTGAGGTTTATTCCCGAAGATCCGAAAGCCCAACACAAGCCTTGGATATTGTGGGGATCTGGGGTAAGGTTGAAAATGTGTATAAAATATAAAATAGTGAGATAATATTCAACTCAAGAACTTACTTATATTCAGTAATTAAGCAATTACACTGAAACTACCCGAACGGTAGCTGAATACGAGATTACAAGGGTGGGAGATGTAAATCTATTGCTTAAGCTCTGAGTATTAAAATGCTAACCCTTTACAATGATCTAAACATGGATATTTATACTAAAATGGGGATGGGTAAGGTGGACACGTGGTCGAATCTGGTAGGCTATCACCTCTGCCATGTAAGCACCCATGCCCCCACTTGCTGCCGCCATGATCCAGCATTAAATGCGGCCTCCACTTGATGATTGCCCGTTCGGGCAGGGTGTTCGGTGTGTGGGACCCCGTCATAGGTGTTATCCTGCTTAGGAACACATCCCGAACGCCGATCGGTATTTCCGCCATAGGTGATTTGGCATAATTGTTTCCCGGAATGTTCCAAGTATAAATTTTATCCCGAATGCCGTTCGAGAGTTCTTTTGGACTGCCTCGGGCCCGCTGTTTCTTCCTGGATTTGGGCCTAGGGATATTGGGCCTGGACCTAATATCCCAACACTAGTCCCCCACTTCCTATGTTTCGAACGGTAGTGAGAGCATAAGGAAGTAGAAGATTATTGCCCGAATGCTGTTCGGGTGAGTATCGAATGGCATTCCGCCGGTTCCCGAGGCATATTTTGACGGTTATTTGCAACTGTCGTTTCACTTTTCCGATAAACGCCATGATTACCTGAGAAGGATTCTCTGTGTGACACGTGTCTCTGTCATCATTACAAAAAACGTGTCCTCTTCTGATTGGCAGCTGAATTGGCGTGACAGAGTATAAATAGGCTCTTCTGGGTTTGATTCTGGGTTTCGAAACTTTGTATCTCCGGCTTAGTACTCTGCCTTCTCTCTAGAGCTTCTTCTGCTGCCTCTGTTCAGGTATCCTTCGAACTTCCTTCTACTGTTTAG